TTGGTCCCTCAGAATTGCGTGTATGTAAGGAAGTAGCCCTGGTGGATTGTGAGGTCATTGAAACTTCTACTTTTCTTCTTTAAATTTATCGACTCTAAGTTTGAAGCATGTCTAAAATTGCCATTATTGTTGCAGTAGTTGTCTCCCGTGAAGATTTTGGGCTACAGTTTTATTCTCTTATTTCCCTGCCAATCCAACTACCTCTGCTTTCTATCCTTAAGGATTTTGGGTTCACTGATGTACTCTTTCTTTATTCTAGAGGTGCTATGGATTTGGTCTATTTAATTGGTTCTGTGCTTGGTTATTTCAAGAAATTTGGGGCAGGAAGGAAAGTAGATTACCATTTTAATTTAATCTAATCTCCCATATTGCTTCTATCTTTCAGTAGCAGCCTGTTATTTGTCAGAGCAATTTTCTCTTGACTCATACTGAGGAAATAATTTATAATTTATTTCCTGCATTAACTCATTTTCATTGGGATTCATTTGCCCATATGCTTTAAACTCAGATACTGACAGCATGAAACTCATTATCAGTTTAACGGTCTGAGAAAAGATAAAATGCTTAAGAAAAAACATAGATAAATTAGAAAGGATGAGCGGTTTGCTGTAAGCACTCTAAAAATGAGCCTAAATGGGTTACTTTTCAGTTATATGCAGTAAGCTGAAATGAGGGTATAAGGAATAAACACGTTTTAACATCTTTGAAGAAGGACTATCATGCTAGGATTTGGCTCAGATAACTCTTTGTTGTGGTGGCTGTCCTATACATTGTAGGAAGTTTAGCAGCATCCCTGGCCTCTACCTACTAATGCCAGTGTCACCTATCCCCATTCCCCGCTACTTGTGACAACCGAAAATGTCCATAGACATTGCCAAATGTCCCCTGGCGGAGGGTGGGACAAAACTGCCCTCAGTTAAGAACCACTGTTAAAAAAAGAACCACTCACCTAAAATAGCTTTTTTAATACTAGATGATAAAAATATATAACACAGAATCATATGTCCGTTATATCTAACTCAGTACCTTAAAATGTATCTTGTCACAATCCCATGAAATATTAAAACTATTGATTGATGCTCTCTGAGCTCAGCATGGTTAAAAGTAGAACATAAAAGCTAGAAAAAAGCTCTAACACTAGAAATGAAATTAAGACAAATTCTTATAAACAGGTATTAACCAAAGATAAGGCAAAACCAAAACTGAGAATATCTAGAAAATAACAAAATATATTTATGAAATCTTAACTAAAACAGTGCTTAGAAGCAAGTTTATTATATTCAGTGTTTATATTACTAAACAAAAACAAAAATAAATGAAATAGGCATTCAACCTAAGAAGTTAGAAGTCTACGGACAAACTAAGATAAATAGACAAGAGCTCAATAGAAGAAAACAAGGTATTAACGAATTAGGAAACAAGCAGCAGGACTAATCAATGAATTTTCTTTTTTTTGGAAATTTGCTCTAAGTGAAATTCAAAAACAAGCAAAAATAACTTGATAAATCACTGATTAATTAATAGGAAAAACAACAAATAGGCTTACAAAGTAAGAATGAAAAGGAAATAACCACAGATTTAGGAAAATTAAAGGAATCAGAAGAAGAGTACAAGCATATATGAGAGCTCAGGGATTTTCGTCTTGTTTACTGAAATATCCCAACTGCTTACGATAGAGCCTAGCAGAGTGGCACACTAAAACGTTCATTGACTAAATGAACAAATATATTTACATTTTTAGAATTATATGACATAGATAAATTTCAAGAAGATAAATTTGCAAAACTTGATGAAAACGTCAGGTAAATTCCACCAACACTTTAAGGAACAAATAATTTGAATTTAATTTGTTCTAGAGTACAGAGAGTGAAAGAAAACCTTGTTCTCTCTTTTTAATAATAAAATGAGCACAGTTTGATAATAGAAATTCAAGAACATACATAAATAAAACTATAATCTTATATAAAAATATCAATAAAAATGCTCAATAGTATATTATTAAGTAGCACAGTTTAAAAAAGTATGTTCAGTCAGTTTCATGGGCTCCTGGCAAGGCTGCTCCTTCCTGACCTCCACGTGGCCCTCAACAGGACTTAAAGTGAGGTCTACCCAGCTCCTAGTCTTCTGGCAACTTTATCTCTTCCTGACAACCCTACAGACAGGATTAAGAGTCCCTAAATACTGCTCTTAAAGGTGCTTTATAACCTTTGAAGGAAGATTTACCAATAGCCAGATTTATGGGGGACCGTATAAAAGTCCATGTATTTTTGTCAGAATCACTGCTACTTTCCCCATACCCCTACCATACTCTGCATCTCAGCTCCCAAACTGGCTAAAATACCAATGCCCAGGAGATTATAATAAAAAATGATTATCTGTCTTTCCCCACCTTCTGCCCCAGCTGAGAGAAGTGAGAATTTGGGGAATTGGTATCTGGAGGTAGAAACATGAAGTCCATTCAGGGAGAGTTCACATTCAAGGACCAAGGCTCCACAAAACTTCCAGATTTAGTTACTATTCTACAGTTATCAGAAATTGAAGTCATCAGCAGAAGCCTGAAATTTTTAGAGAGTTCAAGAGAAATACCAAGCCTGGGAAATATGATTTTGCTCCACCTTCATGAATTCCCATAACTGTGGTCATAAATTGTACACATCTCAAAGTGTTGAAGGCTGCAGACATGGGGTCATTGCCTGTGCCCCTCTCATTATCTTTTCTGATGCCCTCAGTGTCATTACCTATGGAAGATAGTGACCAAGGGAGGTCCTCTAGGAGAACAGTCAGGGACAGGCAGATCAAGAAACATTCTGTGGGCTGGGGCGGGAAGTCTTTGCTGCTCCCGTTTGTGCGTTTTTATAGATCAATGAGCACGATATGCTTTTGGCCTCCTCTCCTTTTCTGGGCAGGTTACATCACTATTGATATATCTTACTCCATAGCAGATCAGAGGTCCCCTGATTAGAAAGGAGATTGAGTTCAGTTAATAAACATCCCTGGGATTGCAAAAGTCCCCAGGAGGATCAAAGTGATTGGTTATCAGTGCCTGAGTTCGACAAAGCTTTGACTAAGGCCATTTTTATTATTGACGTCAGTTGGAGAAACTGGAGATCTTGACTGAGGGATGGTGTATCAGTCTGCAAGGTCTGCTGTAATAAAGTGCCACAACCAGGGGACTTAAACAACAGAAATTTATTTCTCACAGTCTGGCAACCAGAAGTCTGAGATCAAAGTGTTGGCAGGGTTGGTTTCCTCTGAGGGCTCCGAGGAAGAGTCTGGTCCCAGCCTCTTCCCGAGCTTCTGGTAGTTTGCTGTAAATCTTTGCGGTTCCCTTTCTTGTATAAGCATCACCCCAATCTCTGCTGCTGTCTGCATGTGGCATTCTTCCTCTGTGCACGTCTGCATCCAAATTTCCCCCGTTTTATAAAAATACCAGTCGTATTGGAGTAGGGTACACCTACTCCAGTATGATCTCATCTTGCTAATTATGTCTGCAATGGCCTTATTCTCAAATAAGGCCACATTCTGAGGCTAGGACTTCAACATTTGGGGGGAGGGGGACACAGTTCATCTCATAATAGAAGGGACGCTTGAGAGGGGTGAGAGCGGAGGGAGAAGTGCCATGCAGAAGCTCATGTGGGACTCACCCTTTCCTTACCTTCCAGTTTTCTGACTCCAATATCTCTGACTAAAAGAGGATTCCCTTCTTCTCATCTTTAGAAATATATAAATATTTTTTCTGACAAATAGTAGGACTCTTCCAATGCCTGTTTGTAAAAAATGGTTTGATAGGTGTGATCCTTCCTCCGCACCAGCCCCCTCAAAATACTTTGAAGGGGTTTGACAACAGAGATCAGGACTCAAGTTTCTGCTTGTTCGTTATGATTCTCCTTTTTTGTCTCTCTTTTCCCAGTGCTAAATGTATAGTAGCAATTTGATCAAAGGTCTTTGAATTGAATGCAGATGATCATCCCCTAACCCACCCCCACACCCACCCTCAGCAACAAAATGAAGATCTATATGGTAGAGCAACTCATCATATTTTATTAATTTTCGTGAACAAAATACTTTGCTGAGGACAGCATTGTAAGTGTTAATACTGGAAGAAGTGGAAATCAAGAATAGAGATAAAAATTTTTTTAAGTGATAATTTCTCAGGAGGGTATGTTTTCAGTTCATTGAAGATTATCTGTAAGCAATTGGTCTTGGACAAATATGATTTTTGAAGAACTCTTGCCCTGTGAGAGTGACCTAATGTGAATGAATAAAATATATTACTTTAGTTGAACTAAAATAGATATATCCCTTTTGCAGAATTCTAATATCTTCTTATTCACTTTAAAAAATTTTACATACAGAAACATTACCAGTGTTCTTTTGAGCTTGCTTTCTTGAAATTCACCTAATTATCCCAATAACACTTTTAAAATCATAAGTGTAATAATTTTATAAACTTTCTGTTTTCAACAATTTCTTAAAGCCTCTTTTCAAAATGTCTTCTTTTAAAATAGTCATCTTTGGATCATTCTATGATGCAGGGTCTTATTTGTGTATGTTGATAGTCTCAAGCCATTTTGCATAATGGTGGTCGTATGATGAATGGGGGCAAGAGTGTAACACAGTGTAATACAGATCACCAGTTCTGTTGAAGCTTACGCCCTTTAAAGCAAGAGAGAACCAGCAGTTATCCATTCATCGAGCTGAGTAAAAGCTGAACAAATACACATTGGATGGAAACAAACCACCATCAAATTGTTATGGCTTTCCTGACCACTGTTCTCTTTTATTATTTAAAAACCATTATTTCAACAGATTTAAACCTTCTTTTCTTCAACATAGCTAAGTCAAAGTCACTTATATGACACATAAGTTAAGCCTGCGACCGTCACCCCTTCATTTGAGGGTAGGAAAACCCCTTTCATGTCCACATCTTGGGAGGAAACACCCAGCCAAAGGTCCTGGCACGTGCGAGAGGAAAAAGTCAGTTCAGGGCCTCTCTCAAGTCAGTATTCCTCATGAAATGGATATTCGGGATGATCACACCACCTGCCAAAACAATTCCCCAAAGGGAAAAATTTCACTCCAAAGTTGCACAGCAGTATGTGTTACTAGCAATTTCATTGGCTACTCCCCCTCTCTCTTACTCATTCCCTCTCTGTTTGTCACCCACCCACCTCCCATTTTTCCTCAAGCCAGCACCTTTTACTGAAGCCCTGGACAGCACCTGGGTTTAAGTGTGTGTGTGTGGCGGGGGAAGGTTGGCAGCCTTCACATTAATGTTTTGCTCAGAACAAAAAACACAGGAGGTGAGCAGTGCCTGCCTACGTTGCGTGCCTCTTTCCAGTTCCTTCTTCCCTTCTGTCCCGGTACAGGCTGCCTCCCATTTCAGCGAACCACACAGGCCCTTCTCGTCAGAGCTCTGTTACCAATCAGTGTCACCACCCTCTTTTCCGTTTTCCTTCCCTTTCTCAGTAGCCTTCCTGAGAGTGAGTTTGAGATCTAGAAAGGTAATGACTAGCAAAGTTAAGTTTCTGCTATAATGATGATGAACCTATCTCATAAATAACAATGGTGAAACAATCTTTGAAAGGACTGGAGTGTGTGTGTGTGCGTGTGTGTGTGTGTGTGTGTGTGTGTGTGTACACGCTTGCATGTGTGCATGCACACGCACTCTTGTCATGAGACATATCTAAGATTCAGTTCTCTGTAAGTACTATGAACTTTAAAGTATGAAACAAAGGCTCTCAAATGTCAAAGATTAACTGGATGAAAAACAAAAGAATTATGGCCCAGCATGCCTAAATAATACATTTTTTAGACCATTGAGGTCTAATTTTTGTTTCACCTTACTGCTTTTTCTATTTATTTCCTGGTATGATGAGTTATTTTCCCAGTGTTGCTAGAATTAGGTATTAAATAATGTCAAATGTCAAACCAAATGATGCCACCAATTAATTGTCTGTAAAAAATCCACCAATGTTGGTAGATTGCCTGTATCTTACTATCTCTTTAATATTTATTCAATAGAAATCATTTATCTTCAAGAGCTATTAACCTATAAGTGTTAGTTCCAAGTTTTTGTTTACTCTTTTATTCTTGAAGTTAGGTACATTTTGATGTCAATAACATTTTTTCCCCTGGAAAATTCACATTAGAAATCTAGTTTATTAATTCAGAAATGGATTCAGAAATTTGATATCAGTACAGTCAGAACAGTTTCTGACTCGTGAAAAATAATGCGGCCAACTTGGTTTCTGGTGTGGCCTTTTGAGGCAACTATAAGCACGGCATCTGTGGATTCCTTGCTGAATCTTAACAGGTGGCCCCGGATGGGCACAGACTTGAGCTAAATTTGGCTTGCAGCTGAACCCCTCTCAGGACTGTGCCACTGGACACCTACTTCACAAATCCACACTACTAAGACTGGGAGACTTAAGAGCTTTGCTTAGTACATAGAAACAGACACAGAAAGGCAGCCAAAATGGGAAGACAAAGAAGCAGAAACCATATGAGAGAACAGAACAGAGATCCAGGAATAATGGAGTCAAGTAATCTAACAGCTGCAGAGTTCAAAACACTGGTTATAAAGATGCTCAATGAACTTACAGGAAATGTAGATGAATTTAGTGAAAACTTCAACAAAGAGATAAAAAACATAAAAATGGAAATGGAAATTATAAAAGAGAACCAGTCAGAAACGAAGAACACATAATCTGAGATGAGAAGTGTATTAAATGGGATAGACAAAGTGAATAAAGAAGAGGATCAAATGACCTATATAGAGGATGGGAAAGCCAAGGACACTCAATCAGAATGGCAAGAAAAAAGTAGCCTAGACTATAATAATAATTTAAGGAGCCTATGGGACACTATTAAAGGTAAAAATATCCATATTGTAGGGGTACCTGAAGGAAAACAAGATGATGAAGAGATATTTGAAGAAATAATGATGGAAAACTTCCCTAATTTGGTGAAGGAAATATACATACAACCCCTGGAAGCTCAGAGAATCCCAAAACCCAGGAACCCAAAGAGGCCCACACCAAGACACACCATAATGAAAATGACAAAAATTAAATACAAAGAATCTTAAAAGCAGCAAGAGAAAAGCAGTTAGGTACCTACAAGGGAACACCCAAAGACTGGCAGCTGATTTCTCAAAAGAAACTATACAGGACAGAAGGGCTTGGCACAAAATATTTGATGTGATGAAAACCAAGAATACTTTATCCAGAAAAGCTGTCATTTAGAGTTGAAGGACAGATTAAGAGCTTCCCAGACGAAAATAAGCTAAAGGAATTTATCATCATCAAGCCAGTATTACAGGAAATGTTGGAGGAACTTATTTAAGAAGAAGAAAACATGTATCAAAAACAAGACTAGAGAATGGTAATAACTACATTTCTATCAAAAAGTAACTCAAATGGAAAAGAATTAAGTGCTCCAACCAAAAGATAGAGTGGCTGAATGGATAAGAAAACAAGACCCCTATATATGCTGCCTACAAGAGACTCACTTCAGATCAAAAGACACACACACAGACTAAAAGGAAGGGGATGGCAAAAGATATTGCCTTGATGCACCTAGAGGGTGCTGCGCTGAATGAAATGGGTCGGATAGAGAAAGACAAATGTCACTTGATTTCACGTACATGTGGAATCTAAAGAACAAAATCAACAACAACAAAAACAAATAAACTCCTAGATACAGAGAATATTTAGAGGGATACTAGATAGGAAAGGAGTTGAGGGGGACAAAAAAAGGCAAAGGGATTAAGAGGTACAAATGGATAGTTGCAGAGTAGACACGGAGATGTAGAGTGTAGCACGGGGAAGATGGTTAATAATGTAATAAATGTGTAAGGGGGAAGAGGAGTATGAGATTTACTGGGTGATCACTTTGCAAGTTATGTGAGTCTCTGATCACTATGCTATACATCTGAAACTGATATATTATTGTATGCCAACTATAATTGAAAAAAAAAACTCATTGAATTGTACAATGTAAATACAAGCAACTAATTGTTATATTTCAATAAAGACAAAAAAAGGGAGGCTTTGAGATCATAATCAGGAAAAGGGGGACTGAGGCCTAGAGAAAGGAGGGGCCATGCCCCAAATCACACAGCAAGTCAATGGCAAAGCCCAGACTAGATTCAAGGTTGCTGTTTTTCAGCTTCCCTATTCTCAAGGAAAAATAGATATAATGTGGAGATTGACAGTAACCTTCCTTCTGCCCCCCCTCTAAGGACTGGGCTTCGGCTTCCTCAACTGGGCCAGCCCCACTGCTGCGGGCAGGGAAACAATGGCCAGACTCACAGACACGCTCTCCTCCCTCCTCCCTCTCCCCTCTCTTCAATTCCTGATAGATAATAACAATAATTAACAGTTATGTACCAGGCCCTGGGCTAAAGTCTGTGTGTGCATTAAGTCACTGAATCCTCATACACACACAGCATTGTAAGCATTATTATTATCATCATCATCTCTATTTTCCAGTTGGGGAAACAGACACACAGAGTCTAACTTGCACAAGTTCTTCCAGTTAGTGGCAGAACCAGGATGTGAACTGAGGCAGTCTATCTCCAGAGCCTGCACTCCTAAAAACCACACCAGAAAAAAAAAAAAATATTGTGGCCAATAGTATAAGAATCCAAACTATATGAACCATTTTAATGAGCATTTTCTAAATGCTTATTTAAAGAGATTGAAAATATGCAGGTGATCTAAAGAACTGTAAATACTAATAAAAATGATTAAGAAGAAAAGATATGTGTGTATATACAAATATATGGTGTGTGTGTTCTCTTTTTATTGTAAAGGACCTATTTAGAGAAGAAAGGGCTACTTCACTGATTAGCTGAATCTGGCAACACTTTGAAGGAGTGAAAGAAATTTTGCTTGTGGGAAGTCAGCTAACAGGTGGAGCTAGAAGCTCCAAATCTTATAGGCAAGGATTTGTTTAAAACTCTAGATTCTTGGCTCCTAACCTACTGTTCTTTCTACTACATTCATGTGCCTCTCTCCCAGGAGTTGTTTTTTTTGTTGTTGAAAAATTTGCTCTAATTTGTGCATCACTTTGATCTTTAGGAAGAGATATATAAGTGATTTGAATAATTGTACCACTATTGTAATAACATGTACATTATGACTTAATTCTCCACAAGGTCTTTATCTGCCAATCCTTAATCTGTCATGGGATGTCATATAAATACCAGAAGTCTTTTAAGTAATATGTAGATTTGCAGGAGGTTCCTAGAATGAATGTAATTTACCCAAACCTGTTTCATATTCAGCATATGCTGCCCACTGGCCTTTACCTTTGTGCTTTCTGGGGACAGAGGTCTAGGTTCATAAGAGCCCCACTGATTGACACTTGACAATCCAGCACCACTGTGCAGCACGTGATTAAGGTTCCCCCAGAACTCACATGAGCATCTCCACGAAGCGGACATTTTTATTCAAGGCCTCGATGTCATTCATTTCTTCTTTGGTGAGAGAAAAGTCAAAGATCTGAAGTAACAGAAATAAGAGGCAGACATTTATTTAGAAGATGGGGCAAGCTCGGGGCCAGGGAGTGGGGCCGGCAGTGGGGACCCTGTGCACATGTCTCAGAGGAGTTGAGCTGGTGCCGGGGGCCACCCACCAGTGTGGAGCTGGAACTCCCTTCTGCCCTTTGTTTTTAAAACAATTCTGCTGACGACATCTCACAAGATTTTCTAAGTGCCCTGAAACAGCATAAGTTCAGGACAACTGAAATTCCAAGAGTGAATTCTTTATTCTGGAAAAGATGATGAACATTTGATTCTGGACTATGGCCTTGGTACACTTAAAAAAAACAAAACAAAACAATTTCCTTAGTCTCTAAATCGGCTTCTGTACTTTTGTTTTTAACTTTTAGTTTGCTTTGTTTTATCCTCTTAATCATTTCTCTTATCATTTTTTAATGTCTCTTTTTCTACCTTTTCTGATTACATTTTCATTGTTTTATTTTTTTCTTGGCTTGTACACTTTATATTCTGGTTTTATAATTGTCCTTTTTTAACATTTTCATATTTTAGCATATTTATATTTTTAACATTTGGTTAAAATGTTATAATTGATCTTCCTTACTTTATTATTTTATCTTTCTATCCCTTAACTTTTATTTTGGTATATTTAACCATTTGTAGTATTTAATTATATGAGTAATATGTAAATATGTGCTTTTTGTAAAGCAATGAAACACAAAGAAGTACATGGACATGTATAGAATAAATACTAAAAGTTCCTATTACCCACCACCTCAGTCCTATCATCCTTCCCAGATATTCAACACACAGTAAGAGTAACATGCAATAATTGTATCATATCTTTATTATTCTGCAACTTTCTTTAATTCACAGAATATGTCTTGGTGGTCTTTTCTTTCAAAATATGTAGACTGACTTAATCCATTTAGCCACCATATCTGTAGTATATAGATATAACAGTTTACTTAATCATTCCCCCATGGATTGTTTCCAAGTACTTTTTAAAGGAAACCCTTTCTTTGATTATTTATTATCCAACTTTTGGAATTTATGGTATTGTGCAAGGAATCAAAAGTTTGCATAAAATAAAAACAGTCACGAACGAACCAGTGTTGTATAAAAATTCTTACTCAAGCTTCCTTTTTGCTTTTTTGTCTGTTCTCTGAGTATTGGTGAGTCAGTTTCTGACTCCCGCGAATATGCAGTGTGTCCTAACGACACAGTGAAGTTGCAGATCTCGCCAAGGATGCAGGATTTCACAAAGTCAGTGAAAGTGATGGAGATTTGCTCTAATTCTAGGACCAGTCTTTTTCAAATAAGAATCTGACACAGTTAAAATTTACTTTGGTAGATATATCAAAAGAGTATAATTTGGAGAAAAGGCTTAAGAATTTCCTTCAGATAAAGCCCTCTGAAATTTTAACAAAATTATTGTCCTTATGATCACTGTTCAAAAACCTTCGTGAAGTAGAGGATGTCATGTTGTGTTATCATGTAGGCATTACAATTTTCTTATTAGTCTGAATAGAAAATTCTCTACATTAAAAAAAAAAAAATCTTAGTTTTTACATTTGCAGAAGCAGTTCTCTTACCTGAAAGTTTTCTTTGATCCTTTCAGGGTTGAAGCTTTTAGGAATGACAACCACTCCTCGCTGGATGTTGAAACGCAAAACAACTTGAGCGGCTGTTTTATTGTACTTTTTCCCCAGTGAGTTTAGAAGTGGGTCTTTTAACAAGGGTGGGGAAGATACATTCACCCTTGAAAAAAAACATAGAAACATGTATCATATTTAGCTTGAGCAGTGAGAACCAGTGGTTAATCAGCCCCTCTCCTCTTCTGTCTCACCATTCACCTGGTACTCCACCAGGACACTTTGGGTCCTCAGTGAAGAGTTGCTCTTAGGATGGGAAGATCAAGAGAAGCAAGTGCGTAGAGCTGCCTCTTTCAGAGGGTAAACGTTTCTTTGATGGGTCTTACAAAGAAAACTGAGTTGGAAGTAGGCGTATAGGGGAAGGAAGGAGGACTGAAGTGGAAGAAATAGAGGCACAACTCTGGGACTCATCTTAGAGGAGAAAAATTTCTACTTTGGTCTGTGGAACACACAACAGCGGAAGTGTTGCCACTGAATACAGAGATCAAAAAATTCTCAAATTTCAGAATAGCCAGAGACTCTGTCAGATAATGCCTAAACTAACATTTATGGAGCACTCCCTCTGTTTCAGGCAATGTTAGGTAATTTCAGACATTATAGTATGATCTATTGTTACACCATCTAAGCGAGGAAGGTTTTATTAGCTCTAATTTGTATATATGGAGAATGGCTTGAAGAGGTTAAGTTACTTAAGATCACACAGCCAAGTAGAGTCATTCCGATCATATCATTCTCGTTAGCCTCATAGTTGACATCAAAGGAAACATTTGCTGAAGAGACACATACAGCATTACTTACCAGAATGGATTCCTAGAAGTTCCCAAAGGGCTGTATGCAACGAGGACAATATCATGTTGTTGGCAAAATTTCAGGAGTTTTGTCTGGGTGAAATACGGATGGCACTCCACCTGTGTGGTTGTGTTGGAGAGTGGAGAACAGAATAAAGGCTTTGTAGATGAATGCAATTTTTACATAGTTTTTAAAAAACCCTTCAATAAAATCCAGTTAAAAGTATTATGGATAATGAGACAAATCCTAAATATTTTTCCTAACAAGGAAGATTACATTGTTTGTATACCAGTGAGAGTAATTAAAACAAGGCTAGTGAAGTCACTGTCTGTCGGTTGATTCTAGAATAATTGGGGAACAAATTCAATTTTGTATGCCTATCATCATTTAAAATTTTAAGTGAATACTCAGTTGTTTATAGTAAACATTCTGGCAAATACAATATCCATAACAAACTTACAGTCTCAAGGTTCAGATCATAGTCTTAGTAAGTAGAAGCGACATGTTACAGAAGCCCTCTGTCTCTAGCTATCAGAAATCGAAGAATATTTTCGCAAGAGGTAGAGCATGTATAAACCTAAATTTAAAGATGAATTTTGTCTTCTTGGCTGAGCGTTCTCTACACCACCAAATGTAAGCCTACTTTCATTTTTAGTATCTTATTGACAAGATTCCTGCACTAAAAATACTCGTGTCAACAAAATTCTTCTCAAGTTTCTTCTTAAACACTATGGTAGTTTTGACCCATGTTTTTCTTTTTAAGTAAAGTCAACCAAAGCTTAATTAAAATATTTTGAGTATATAATTATGATGTTCACCATCTGGAATATTGAATACTTGACAAACTATGTTTCTAGAAGGTACAATCATAATCTTGCTCCCTTCTGTCCACTGAGAAACACTTGTGGGTTTTTTCCCTCCCTTTGGAACATTTCTTAAACAGTTTTAAAAAGCGGCACTTAGACTAAAGTAAGTTAGGAACCATAGTGTTCGTGGTATTTCTTTCCTTTATTCTCTCCAACTGCCAGCATCTCTCTCTACTTTCAGTTCCTTTTTTGTTTTCAGTCTTGTTTATTATTGGTAGACTAATCTTTCCAAAACACATAATTTATCACATCATTTCTTAGAGACTAAGTATAAATTCCTTAATTTAATGCCTGCCTGCTTGTTTAAAACACAACATTTAATTTTCCCCACAAAGACTCCTTTCTAATCAGGTTACCTGTCTCTGGCCTATTAAATATGTGTATGTACATATGTATATATTCATATGTATGTGTATATGTATGTGTGTGTTTATATGTATAATAAGCATTTTTATAACCTACCTTTTGAAAAAAGATTTTATATGGTTTATAGTAAAAGGTATATATAATAAGGCTAATACAATTAAAAGCAGAACAAACAGGTACGTGAATATCAAATCCGTGACTGAATGAGTTTGGAACTTTACAGAGTTGCACCAGGCAACATACTAGAAACGTTTACTCAACAAAAACTTTTGAGTCAATATAATATAAACTCATAATATAAAATAATATATTATAATATAATATACAATATAATACTTTGCATAGGTAGTTTGTAGGTAAAAATTCTGGGGGTGGGGGTGGGTAACTTAATCTGATCCAAGTACATATGAATCCAGAGAACCACATTCCTTCTTTTCATAGCTTTTATATCAGTTTCTAATTATAAGTAACGGTTTTGTGATTAATGTGGTTCCCCACTAGACAGTGCCATGGGAGCAAGAACTGTATCTGTCTCTGGTCACTTTTGCATGCCTAGAGCCTAGCACAGTGCCTGGCTGGTGTCAGGCAGGTGCTCGATGACTGTTTGTTCAATGAATGAAGATGATAACTGTATAGAGAGGACAGAGCCAGAATATTAGGGAACATTACTGTTGATGCTGCAGATGGTTAGGTTGGGCTTCAGAAGGGCTGCAGCCTTGGTGGAGGTCATTTCAGGCCAGGAACGATCCTTGTTGAGTAGCCTGGGACTGGATGCTCAGTTTAAGGTGGGGGGTAGTTTTGGTTTCTGATGTCACGAGGCCATGATGCCATCCTTATTTCCAAGTAGAAGTATATTGAAGCACATCTACCCGCCTTCTTTGCCAGAGATTGGTTACAGCTCTTTGTAAGTGGGCTGGTGGAGACGCAGTCTTTACTTTTTCTTGTTTACAATGTAAAATTGATGTAACTCGTCAGTGACGTGTCTGGCGCTTCTACAACACTGTTCGTTAATGCTGAACTTTAGATCTTAAAATCTTAGGAAGCTGGACAGAACCCATGAAGGAAAATAGCAAAAGCCCTTTCACTAAGTAACCCTGTCCTCTGAAGAATATAGAATGAGGTCATATTTCATGTGATTTTGTTCATGAAGTCTATGAAAAAGTATAACAATATGCAAATTTTACTTCAGATTGATCTTAATGGGAAAATACGTATTGAAATATGTGAATTTTGAATTATGCAAGGTCTTCAGATTCATATCCCTTACCTATAAAATGTGTTTACTCTCTGTAATGCCCACGATATGTTAGTCATGTTTCTGGATTGAACACTGCACTGAAAGCTGCTCATGTTGTATCTTTGGAGTATAAGTGGTTTTACCCAGTTCACAGGGTAATGGCTGATGGCTTGTAGACCTGCTCTTTGGTCTGTGCCATCTCTAGAGTATTGATACACTCTGCTTTCAAGCACCACGGAACACATGAGTAGGCTCAGGCTGTGATCTTCCAACACGTCTTGCTTCCCTTGCAGAGTGTATTTGTGAAGCTGATCAGTATCCTTGGGCCAACAAATCAGGGTATTTCCTCCTTGGCACTAGGAAACACATTGTCTAATTTTTACTCTGTTTTTCATTCTGAGATTAAAAAATCATCATCTTTCTGTATATAATTGTAAGAAGAAACCTGTTTGTCATTTCAGTATTTTTAAGACAAAATATTGTTCTTGGGGGTGCACGAAGGAGATGTGCTGATGAGGGATGGAGTAGGAATAAAGAGACGGATTGAAGTCAGTTCGGAAGTCAGGGGTGGTTCCTCTCCATTCCTGAGAGCAGCTTATTGTGTACAGTGTGAGCGTAGGTGTCAGTTTGGAGATGATACTTCTAAAATAGCAACATTCCTATTCTAGCCGTGAGCTGTTGTCACGATGTAGGTAATAATTCATTCTTTCTGTTATGAGCTCATACTAGACTTTTTTGATTTACTAAAAACAGTGAATCAACCAAAGAAGTTAACCATAATCCTCTAATGTAAATATTTACCCAATCCAAAAGCACTGTTTAGCCTAGCTTCTTAATGTTTTATGGAGTAGGATGAAGACAATATCGTTATCCCTGCTTAACAAGGTGGATAATATAATCTTGTTATGATTATAAAAGTGATATATGCTCACTACAGATGACTTGTAAAATACAGAAAAGCATAAAGAAGAAAACAAAATTTCTCTTGTAAAATTCACAGCCAGAGATAACCTGTTAATTTTTTCAATATCTTTCTTTCCAGTTTTTTTCTATGCATGTTTTTTTAAATAATTTAATCGCCTCCACACTGTATATTACATTTGGTATCCTGGTCTTTGCTTTTAATTTTATGACCATTTCTCTTTTCCTCAAAGATGATTCAAGAATATCTTTTGTTAGGATTTCACATAATATGAATGTTTTGTAATTTATTTACACATTCCCCTATTTTTTTCATTTTGCCATTATAAACAGTGCTGTGACAAACACACATATGGGCATTCTGATTTTTTTTCATGAGGATAGATTCCTAGAAATAGAAGACTGAACATTTTTAAGGCTCTTGACACTTATTGCCATATTGTTTCCTGTAAAACTGAATCAATTTGTACTCACCACACTTCATCATTTGCTTACATAGAGCATTACATTAAAAAATAAAAGCTTTGCTAATTTAATATACAATATAAAATCACACTTAAATTTAAATTTCTATAATCACCAGTGCAGTTGAATATTTTCATGTTTACCAGTCTTGCAGTTCGTCTTCTGTGAATTTGTTCATTTCTTTTGCCCATTTTTCTGTTGAGGCTTAGTATTTCTTTTCACTGCTTTTTTTCATTGATTATTATTAGGCTTTTAATTCACAAAGCTATTAACCCTTCTTTCTATTATATTTTAAAAAATATAATTATGTTTGCTCGTTGTTGCTAATATTTTTAGATTTAACATTTTTATACTACTGAATCGATCGTTTTCTTTGTAATTTTCCCATGGCTTCATTTTCAATCTATAGCTTCGGAAAACTATAATTCTTTTGTAATGTTTACAAATGACTTCCTCTTTCTCTTTAACTCTTAATCATAAGGACATTTACTTTGGAGTAGGGTGTGAGGCTGAGATCTATATTGTTTCCACATAACTAGCCATTTTCCCCATACCACTTACCAAAAAATCCATTCATTTGCCGTTAGTTTGTGCTACTTTATTTTACATTAAGTTTTTATTATACGTCGGTCTGTTTCTAGCATATCTCTTATTTTCTACTCTCTGTGTTGGTTCTTTTGCACTAATCTTAACATTATTGTAAATGGTCGATATATCTTAATATCTGGCAAATCTCGTTCCCCCTCATTATTTTTCTTCCAAAAAATATTTTGAGTTTCTTTTGTCTGAATTTGAACTTTCAAAAAAAATTTTTTTAAGAGACATAAAGTGAGAGAAGTTAAAAGATTTGCCCAGGGTCTAATGATGAGATACATGTAGAGTGACCACAAGACGTTCTGACTCCTAGCCCATGATTCTTCCTTATTTACTTAATGTAATAATTGGGTCCCCCTACACTACCACAATGTCCCACCCTTCTGTCAAGCCGTACCTGGTTGCTGACTGGCTTATGTCTGAGTCCCGGTTTGTTCAGGATTAGCTCCAGCTGCCTGCGATTAAAATTGGATACACCAAGGGATTTCACCAAGCCAGCATCTTTGCAAGCTTCCAGAGCCTGTGGAGCAAATTCTGGTGGGTCAAGAAAGAAGCCTCAAAACAAGCAGGAACAAATGACTATAATGGTGACTGTAAATTCTTCAAAAAGGAAAGCCCCTGAGTAAGATAATAGGCATTCTGAGAAGGGAAAAAATAAGTGAGAGAGACAGGTAGGAATTCTGTGATTGAGTTCTGTTACTAGGGGCACAGGCATTTGAGATTGATTTCTTTATTGTTATAAACAAACTTCTTTATTTCTAGTAATAATTTTCTAAAATGTTTTTGATATTAAAATGGCTACTCTAGCCTCCAGCTTTCTTTTAATTACTGTTAGCCTGCGATATCTTTTTCTATCCTCTTTTTTTAAACTTTTGCTTTTAACCCGTTTGTGTGTTTTTATTTAAAATAGGTTTCTCGTATGTCACGCACAGTGGAGTTTTGCTTTTTATCTATTCTGACAACCTCTGCCTTTAAATTGGATTGTTTAGACTGTCTACATATACTGCGATTATTGATACCACTGACTTTAAATCTCCCATCTTGCTATTTGCTTTTCGTTTTCCCCATCTATTGATTTTCCTTCTTTTCTTGCCTTCTCTTGGATTGATTTTTTTATTATTTCATTTTATTGCCTTTATTGGCTCGTTTGCTGCACCCTGGAAATATTAACATTTTCTCTTTGTATTTGACATTCTGAAGTCTCTCTATAATGTCTCTAGGTATGAGTTTCCTTCTCTTCTTTGTAAATCTATGCCCTTTCAATATCAGTTTTTTGTTTTTTAAATATTGTCTCTCTTCCTTTTTTCTTTCTTTTTTTTTTTTTTTTCTTCTGAGACTCCTATTTTGTGACTACTGGAAATTCTAATTTTGTCTTGTATATCTCTTGGCTTTTTTTTCACATTAAAATTTTTTTCTTGTCCTTCATATTGGGAGATTTCTTCATTCTAATTTTTCAATTTAATAATTTTTCTCTTCTATTACATTATTTTTCTTAATTATTATTTATGCTTATTTTAAATGTTTTCTTTTTCTTGTTCCATATTGCTAATATCTTTTCTTACC